GTTCCGCCACTACATGTGCCATATGTGTTGGTTTCCAAAAGTTGGTAAACAAGTTGTTGCCCGTCGCGTTTTTGATTATATTATATGTTGACAGAAACGGAATCCAACTCCTAATCCTATTTCCAATTCCTATAGAACAAGCAACAACAATGGCAGATATCCTGTTGGTCTTGATCAGACGCGCAAAGTTTTCGATGTCAAAGGGAATGCTATTATGGATAACAAGAACGAGCAAGGATTTAACAACTTCGGCAATGTGCATAACAACAGTAATAAGCAGCTCGACAACGACAACGACGATGACAATGACAACGACGACCTTTGAACGAGACGGGCCAAACGGTCGTAACCATCAGATTGGGCCGGACTTTGACCTATAGGGTCTCAAGCTACCAAGGTCATGCCTAACAGTGCAAACCATCAGATTGGGCCAGACTTTGACCTATTGGGTCTCAAACTACCCACTTCGCCCCCAGGCGGCGTGGCAAATGATAATCCCTAAATAGGAGCAATAAGAGCGAAACTAACTTTGCCTATCACGATTGTATATTATTTTGTGTCTATCTCTTTCTTTGTGTAACTAAATTTTGTGATAAAAAGAGATAGAGAAACTCTTTGGGTTTGAATGAGAAAAGTCAGATGATGGTGAAAAACTTGACTAAATTGGTAAATATAAAATTCAATCATATATAATTTTATTTTTTGGCACAAAAATCCTAAATATATAAATTAGTACTGCGCCAGGCATACTTACTCGGAAAGCAAAATAATTTCTATTAAGAACATAATTTTATTATTAGAAAAGTTGATATAGATCCAAATTCTCATCTAGAAGTTGGGTTTAATCCTCGGATTTGGTGACTTTGATACAAGTCCTTTGACTTTTGTGCCACATAGGATTACATTCCTTTTTGAATATTGTCTGATGTAATCTTTTTATTTTATATATTTAAAATCATTTTTTGTTCCAATATTGCCCATTATCTTAGATTACTTACCTTAATGAGATAATTAGCCAATATTATATTTCTTTCCTCATCCAACAACTCTTAATGAGGTAATCTTATATGGATAACAAGAACGAGCGAGGATTTAACAACTTCGGCAATGTGCATAACAACAGTAATAAGCAGCTCCACAACGACAACGACGATGACAATGACAACGACGACCTTTGAACGAGACGGGCCAAACTGTCGTAACCATCAGATTGGGCCGAACTTTGACCTATAGGGTCTCAAGCTACCAAGGTCATGCCTAACAGTCCAAACCATCAGATTGGGCCAGACTTTGACCTATTGGGTCTCAAACTACCCACTTCGACCCCCAGGCGGCGTGGCAAATGATAATCCCTAAATAGGAGCAATAAGAGCGAAACTAACTTTACCTATCACGATTGTATATTATTTTTGTGTCTATCTCTTTCTTTGTGTAACTAAATTTTGTGATAAAAAGAGATAGAGAAACTCTTTGAGTTTGAATGAGAAAAGTCAGATGATGGTGAAAAACTTGACTAAATTGGCAAATATAAATTCAATCATATATAATTTTATTTTTTGGCACAAAAATCCTAATTATATAAATTAGTACTGCGCCAGGCATACTTACTCGGAAAGCAAAATAATTCCTATCAAGAACATAATTTTATTATTACACTCCACAAGCACAACAATCGATAACTTTGCTAAGGTTTGCAAATCTTATAGTGCAGAGGCAGTCCAAAGGCAGAAACAAATAAATCTCTTGTCGACCAAAATAAAAACCCTCAAACTCTCCCAATACAACACCTTCAGCACCTTTGAAATAAGAGACACTGCTTTTCATCAAAAATAAATAAATTAAAGAGACTGCTTCTTGCTTGAAACCTGCAACCTCCATTGTTGTGGCCTAGAAGTTGGCGGTTCGAAACACGAAGGAGCGCCTCTCATCACTTTGTTTGAAGCCTCAAAGTGAATGCCTGCAAGGCCAAAAGAATTTCCTTCAGCCTCTCTTTGTCCTGTTCATCCACCAAGTTGCCACTGTCGAACTTTTCAGGAGACTTGAGTCCATCCAAGAAAAACTCGGGCTTGTTGATGAAATGAAGGTCGAGAGACACTCCTACTTGGCGAAGATGATATTGGGATCGGCCGCCACCAAAGTCCCCTGAGGCACTTACAACTGCGGCAGCCTTATCAGCCCAAGCATTTGGTGGTCTTGATGCCCAGTCAATGGCATTCTTTAGAGGTGCTGGAACATAATACATAGTGTGGGGGGTAATTGATTTGAAAGTTTAAAGACTGAAATGAAGGCTTTTAACAAGTTTGGTGACCATTTTTTTTAGTAAAATAAAAAATGAAAATTATACCAGAGATGGAGTAATTGTACTCGGGAGAAGCAAAGAGGATGCTATCAGCTTCTAAAATCTTCCGACGAAATGCTTCCACGGCAGGTGGAAAACTCCCATCCTTACCCTCCAGATCCACGTTCAGAAACGGCAGCGCTGAGATGTCCACGTACTCTATCTCCAAGCCGTCGATGGACGCCTTGCTTATCTCAATTGCTACCACACCAAAAACGCCACCGTTACAAATCATCCATAAAAAAATATTACCACAAAAAAAAAAAAAAAAAAAAAAAAAAAACCATGTAAGCTAATTTACTAACCAGAACGAATGAGGCAGCGGTTGTATGAAGCTCCACGAAGCGACCCACAAACTGCCGCAACTTTTATAACTGAATTTTTATTTTTATTTTTACTTTTGGTCATAATCGGGGCAGCCCGAGGCCCGAACAAACAAAAACAACGGCACAATGGCCCCAGACCTACTTCTACTTTTACGACCGATTTTGCTGCGACCGAAGAATCCTCCTCCTCCATTTCTGATTTCTTGGGTTCTTCACCAGAAGAAGAGATAATTATAAGGAGTTTTGATGTGCAGATGATGAATTATTTTGTGCATATTTATGAACGTTGCGACAAGAACCATTATTAGATTTATAGAATCATTTTCAGTGGAAGGTTTCAGAAGTAATGGATCTTACCTACTGGTTCAGAAATAATGAATGGATGCATGTGAAAGATATATTTTTCAAATGGGTGCTTTTGTTTGTGAGTGAATGAGTTCACGTTTGTGAAAAGCTAAATCAGTTCCTGTTTTTAAGGGGGGTGTATTCAATTCAAACTTTTAATGAGTATATAAAAGTCTAGAGGTATTCAATTTAGATTTTTAAAGAGTATATAAAAGTCTAGTGGTATTCAATTGTGACTTTTAAAAAGTATTTAAAAGTTTGGTGGTATCCAGTTACGACTTTTAAAGAGTATTTAAAAGTTTGGTGGTATCCAAAAAGTTAATGACTTTTAAAAAGCTTATTAAATGAATGACTTTTCCATACTTTTAAGACTAATTGTTAAGAGCAAAAGTCTTGCCAATTTACTAGTGACTTTTATCAACTCTATGAAAGTATTTAAGAATTTGTCAACTCCATGAAAGTCACTCACTTAAAAAAAGTCTTTATAAGTATGAATTGAATACACCCCCCTAAATTATACTTTTTTTTAATTATAATTTTGTTGATGTTCAACTAAAGCATCTCGAATGACATTGGGAGGAGTCCCATACCATGATAATGCAACACTTAAAGTTAAAGCATAACGAGATAATGTATGAGCAACTGAATTGGCTTCTCTAGAAACATAACCAAAAGAAAAAACATTCAACTTATATAACAACACTCTGCACCGTCAAGCAACCCCACACTGGCTTTTCCTCAGTCGAACAAAAATAGCTTGGATCAAATTCTTGACATCCCCTTCCACTCCACCAGTTTATACACGTTCAAGAGTTGGATGACCAAAATGACTCAAAAATGAGTTTTGGAGACCAAAATTAAAATCAAGTGTAAGTTCGGAGGCCATTGCGCTTAAAAACCTTATTCATAATATTCTTGATTGGTGTCAGAGCACCCACTATTAATACAAATAGGGTAGTTTTTGGTTTTAGGTGTGTCAGACCATGGAAAGTGAGCTGAGTTGCAAGATTTTGTAACACTTGTCCTTTATTTGATGGCACAAACTAAACCATAACTATACTATCAGGAAAGAGAAGTTTGAGATATTCATGGATCTATATGGAATGTGTGCTTTAAAACCTTAGTCATAATGTTATCGATCAATTAGTGTCAGAGAACTAGCTATTAATACAAATAGAGAGATCCTAGGGCAGTTTTTGGTTTCGGGTGTGTCAAAACCATGGAAAGAGAGCGAGTTGCAAGATTTTGTAACACTTCTCCTTTATTTGATGGCATCAACTATACCCTAACTATACTGTCTAGAAAGAGAAGTTTGAGATATTCATGGATGCATATGAGGAATGTGCTTTTGAATATTTGACTATTGAATGGAGATCCCTTGTGAAAATTGTTTACAATGAATTACTGCCTAAACCAAGAGCTAAGGGAGCAATAGCTGAACTAATTTCTTCTAGTTCAAACAAAAAGGTAGGGTAGCCATTGCCTTTTTCTAGCAACGTTGTTCTCTCACATCCAACATTGTCTTACTGTTAAGCAAACATGTGATTAGTTTGGGATTGTGCATGAAGGTGATAACAAGTGAGGTCACTCAAACTTCAATTGGTTCTAGCTAAATTTGAAGAATTGAGAATGACAAAATTGGAATCCGCTTGATGTAGGATATATGAATTGAATAACAAGGTAGATTAGCGAAAGTAAAAACAATGAAAAACAGAAAGACTTATTTATTGTTTCACCCTCTGGGATTCGAGCTCACTCTCACTTAACCACCCGGAACTCAAATTTCCCCACCGTACCCCCTATTCTCCCACTCCGTCTCCAATGTTACCCCATCCCTTCAACACCGTCTCATTTTCCCATTAAATGACCTTTCTCTCTCTCTCTCTCTCTCTCTCTCCTCCCCAACCCATCCCCTTCTTCTCTCTGCCTCTCTCTTCTCTCTCATTCCCTTCCCAGACCCAATCCCAAGCTCACCTCCATCGCACTTGACCCCTTACCTCCCTTTATCTCTCTCTCTATCTCTCTCACTCTCACTCTCACTCTCTCTGCCTCCCTCTTCTCTCTTATCCCCTCCCCAGACTCAACCCCCACCCCATACCTAACCCTCCATGGAATTACTCAACACACCCAAACTACCACCACTTTTTTTTTTAAATATCATCGACGCCAGTCCCTATCTTCTCTCTCGACAAAGAGAGTGGGAAGAAAGAGCCACATAGAAGAAAGAATATGGGAGGGGGTGGGGTGCAATGAGGGTTGGGGAGGGGAGAGAAGAGAGAGGCAGAGGGAAAGGAGGGGTATGGTGCGATAGAGGAGCGCTGGGGGTAAGGTCTGAGGCTGGGATGGGAGAGAAAATAGAGGCTGAGTGAGTGAGCGAGAGAGAGGCAAAGGAAAGGAAGGGGGTAGGGTGCACTGGGGGTTAGGTCTGGGGAGGAGATGGGAGAGAAGAGTAAGTAATAGAGAGAGAGAGAGAGAGAGAG